AAAGGCGTCTGTTACATGGTCTGTAGTGCCATGATTTTAATGCATTCCCATCTCTCCAAGCCTCTGATGATGCAGGGATTTTCTTAGTATCTGTGGGATGAGTCTCAAGGGGCCATTGGATAGTCACCCCTGTATTAGAAAGGAGAGTTGGGAAGTAATTGTTTAATTGATTTATTAATTCATTTATTAGAGAAACTTTGGTGTGCCTAAGAGCTCTTATGGACTATGACATTGTTGTTTCTGTGGCACTTGTAGAAATGAGCTGCATTTAAAGCAACTAAATTCAGTGAGCTGTTGATCTGAAATCATTTCTGCTTTGAGTCCTTTGATGACCAAAGCATTGTTCTGACAGGTTTCACTCATTCAGCCCTGTTATGTGTAGATAAGCCAAGGAAGAAACTCCAGAGAGAGGCGGTGACATCCTTGCTTTTCCTCCTTTGCATCCGTCTCACAGACTCCACCACACAGCAAGTCTCAAAAGCAACAAGAAAATTAAAATAGCTTCCTATGATCTACCAGACCAACATGGAATAAAGTTGGATATCAACAACTACAGAAAAACAGAAGGCTACAAACTTCTATAAACTAAAAAACTTCCTCCTGAATAACGACTGGGTCAAGGAAGAAAGAAAAAAGAAACAAATGAAAGACCTCCTAGCCTTCAATGACAATGAATTCACAAGATATCCATACACTGGGACACTATGAAAGGAGTGACAAGAGGAAAGTTCATAGCACTTCTTGCCTGCATAAAGAAATTGGATAATTGTCATACAACAGACTTTACTGAAAACCACAGAGCATGAGTGGGTTTGACCTAGGGTCTCTGCATATATGTGCCAGATGTGTAGTAGGCATGGTCTTCTTTTGGGACACATAAAGTGGGAGCAGGTGCTGTCTCTGACTCCTCTGCTGATGTTTGGACCATTTTTCCTCATACTGAGGTGCCTCATCGACCTGACATGTCATGTTTTGTTGATATCCATTGGTGGACTGCCCTCCAATGAAGAGAAATGGAGGACTGGATGGAGATTCAAGGGAAAATGGGAGGGATTTGGAGGAGAGGACAGAGGCAAAACAGCACTTAGTTGGATAAATTACTGAATAAAAATAAATACATACATATTTTATAAGGCTGTATTGAAATAAGGATCCTTAAATGTAAGTAATCATACAACTGTAGAGAATATAGAATCCATATAGCACAACAAATCAAAGCAAGGGTAACATGAGTTTAATCAAAGGAACTATGGAGCAAGAGAATCAAAAATATGATGCTAATTTTTTTAAAAGTCTGGATAATAACATTTCATATATTCTTAGTTTTGTATTTCAGAAAGTTTCTTCTGTTGAGGGAACTATTTTGTATTCAGAATTTGGTGTGGTTTTATGGCTCTGATGATATATTGTTGTTATAAGAAATAATAGACTTTTAAAATTTGCATGAATAATTAGTGAGATGTAGATAAGCTGGTCATGTAATTATTGGTGTTGTCCCCTTCGTTGTTCTGATCATGCTCTATCGTTATCTGAGATATGTGCCTTCAGAAAGATGATTTGAAAGAATGTGGATGAGATTTCTGTCTTAGAACAGAGGGAGCTGCATGGGTGGACAGTGCTTCTCACAGAAGATCTGAGTTATTAATTACATACCACTGTGCTGGGCACGTGAAAACTCTTTATAAGGTAATGGTCAGAGTGGGCACACAGTTCATGAGAACCCTGGGAGGTGTTGCATTGCTCTTACTTCTCCACAATAATTTCAGAGATAAGTCTTGTTTTCTAAAAAGAATTTTAAAACTGTGTAGATTGTAAGACCCAGAAGAGGCAGATGACCCCAAGGAAGCAGTGTCTTCTAGAGAAATCAGGATTGATTGATACACATGGGAACTCACAGACACTGTGAATGCCTGCAGAGAGCCTGAGTCAAATCAAGCCGGATGAGGCCCCAGTGTTGAGACAGGGACATGGACACAGGCTCTCACACCTAACCAGGAAGGTTCTACAATTGATGTTTGTAAAGGAAAAACTATTGTTCCTCATTGGCATCTCTTTGGGCATATAAAGCACACTTATGTGTCAACACAAGTGCAGCAGTAGATAATATATGCTACTTTTTAAAGATATTTTGTCTCATATCACATGTTTGTGCATTTTCTTTTTGTCTCATTGCCCTTTTACCCATATCTCAAAATGCCATAGTTGTGTGTTTTTATGAGTTTTGTGTGAATGTGTTTCTTATTTTCTTATTTTTAATGCCTTATATTTTGATCCTTCTTTTTTGCCTCTCTTTTGCTTTCTACAATGAGAAACTGTGTGGTGTTCAGTGGATGGGGAGATAGGAAGAAACTGGAAGGAGTTGAAAATGGACAATCAATGACCAGACTAACTCCTGTTAATTTTCTTTAGAAACATTAAAAAAAGTAAATAAAACATGATTAAAATACACATGGATATACAAACCTGCGAAGTGTTTAACAAATAATCAACACTCAATTGGAACATTAAAACATCACATGTCAACAACAGCAGGTGCAGGTCAACTAGTAGACTCAAGGAAGGAAACCACAGAGGACATAGAGTCCCCTCCACACCAACCTCATCTCTCTACTGGGGATTCTTGGCTTCATTGTGCCCCCTGCTGTTTCTGAGCTCACTGCAGGTTGGTTTGTCATTGCTTACAATGAATCTGCACTGTCTGTCTTTATGAGGAACATATCCCTGAAACTTCAGTGCTCACAGAGCTCAGCTACAATAATAAGTGGCTTTCTTTACTTTAAGATGCTGAGTGGATGTTTCAGTATGGATATGATGTTGTGCCTATATTACCATGAATGTCCCTCTCAACCCAGGCTCTTCTAATTTGTTATTAAGACCCAGATCTAGCAGTTCCCAATATAATAATATGACAATAGGATAGAGCAGGAACTTTGCTTCCTTCATCAGGCTATACCTGGAGCAGAGCACCTGAGGTCAGAGAAACACAGTAAGTCTTCAGCTGTATCCCCAGTATCCATGTATGACCCATTCAGTTACAGAACTCAGGAGAATGAGGAGGCAACACATTTGTACTCACAGATCAGTTAACAGCAGTAAAAAATATATTACATTGGAAAGGAAGCAGAAATCAAGCAAATTTACACCATAAGTCAATCTAATTCCTGTCCTCCAGTTGGGGGTGGAGAGAAAATTACTTTAACAAGATTCCTCATGGATGGAGTTTCATGTCAGTAGAAACATCTCTCCCTCTCTCAGTTTGGTTCCCAAATGCCCAATGGAGTAATTAACTCTACTTTTAGAGAAATTGTCCTTCTTAGGGCTAAGAGGGTTGGTGGATTATGGCATTATCATTTGTGTGGCATTCCTAGGAACAGGAACCTCATTAAAGCAATGAAATGTACTGAACTGGTGATCTGAAGTCATTTAGGATTTGGCCCTTAAATGATCAAACCTTTTCTCTTTTGGATTTCATATGCTTAACAGGGTTGTATGTAGGTAAGTGAAAGGAGGAAACTCTGGGTAGATGCCGTAACCTCCCTTGCTGTCCCTTGTTGGCACCTGCTCCTTGAGGCCCTGAGTGTCTGAGATGCCAGCATCCCCGGCTGACCTCCATTCCCTTTGCATCAGGTTGATCTTGTCTGGATTTGCTCCTGCACCAGAGTCTAAATGATGTGTAGGACTCACCAGTGTCTACAGTGTGGATATGTACTTCTGATGCCTGTCTCCCCTTAAGCTCTATGTCCCTGTGCACAGTAGGTGTTGTCATATAAGTGACTTTCTTCACATGGAAAAAGCTGGACAATTTTCTAGTAATAATTGTCAACAGTGGCTGCTCTGCAGGCCAGCACTTCCCAGCAGAGCTCTCTTCTCCTTCTTTGCACTCTCATTTGTAAGCATGTAGAACACTGGACAGTTTATCTCTCTGACAGCACGACAGAGACTGAGGTTACTGTTTCAATACACGGATTCATTATTGCTTGTCAAAAATTTCCTGCAATTATATGGGGCTTTGTTATAATAACTGTAGGGTTTTGTTTTTTTGTTTGTTTGTTTTTTATTGAGACAGGGATTCTCTATGTAGCTTTGGAGCCTATCCTGACACTCTCTCTGTAGACGAGGCTGGCCTCAATCTCGCAGAGATCTGCCTGCCTCTGCCTCCTGAGTGCTGTGATTAAAGGCATGAACATTATCATTTTTGTGGCATTCCTAGGAACAGGAACCTCATTAAAGCAAATAAATGTACTGAACTGGTGATCTGAAGTCATTTATGATTTGGCCCTTAAATGATCAAACCTTTTCTCTTTTGGATTTCATATGCTTAACAGGGTTATATGTAGGTAAGTGAAAGGAGGAAACTCTGGGTAGATGCAGTAACCTCCCTTGCTGTCCCTTGTTGGCACCTGCTCCTTGAGGCCCTGAGTGTCTGAGATGCCAGCATCCCCAGCTGACCTCCATTCCTTTTGCATCAGGTTGATCTTGTGTGGATTTGTTCCTGCACCAGAGTTTAAATGATATGTAGGACTCACCAGTGTCTACAGTGTTAATATGTACTTCTGCTGCCTGGCTCCCCTTAAGCTCTATGTCCCTGTGCACAGTAGGTGTTGCCATATAAGTGACTTTCTTCCCATGGAAACAGCTGGACAATTCTCTAGTAATAATTGTCAACAGTGGATGCTCTGCAGGCCAGCACTTCTCAGCAGAGCTCTCTTCTCCTTATTTGCACTCTCATTTGTAAGCATGTAGAACACTGGACAGTTTATCTCTCTGACAGCACGACAGAGACTGAGGTTACTGTTTCAATACATGGAATCATTATTGCTTGTCAAAAATTTCCTGCATTTATATGGGGCTTTGTTATAATAACTGTAGGGTTTTGTTTTTGTTTTTTTGTTTTTTTTATTGAGACAGGGATTCTCTGGTAGCTTTGGAGCCTATCCTGGCACTCTCTCTGTAGAAGAGGCTGGTCTCAATCTCATAGACATCTGCCTGCCTCTGCCTCCTGAGTGCTGTGATTAAAGGCATGAATACCAAGGCCTGGCCAACTATAGGTTTTATCCCGAGTTAATGATGCTATCCTATGTCCTCTTTCCTATGCATGTGGCTTGATTGCCAAGACACAACTGTGAAGAGTCTACCAAAGAACAGAGATCAATTTCCTTGTGTCTAATTACTAACTTCATAATCATAGTCATGGAGGAGGCAGATATTTCCTCTGTTGCTGTCTGGGCACAGAAGAACCACTTCCCTGAGGTTTTCTGACACCCTCAGGATGTGGTTTTCACACTGTGTCTCTCGCACAGTAATACATGGCCGTATCTTCATCCTTGAGGCTGCTGATCTGCAGATATGCAGTGCTGACAGACGTGTCCAAGGAGAAGACAAACCGTCCTTTGAAGTCATCAGCATATGTTGGATTCCCAGTTTCAGTATTGATCCAGCCCATATACTTTAGACCCTGTCCTGGTGCCGGCTTCACCCAGCGCATTGCATATTGTGTGAAGGTGTACCCTGAAGCCTTGCAGGAGATCTTCACTGACTGCCCAGGCTGCTTCAGCTCAGCTCCTGACTGCACCAGCTGGATCTGTGTTTGGACACCTGTGGAGAGAACATGGGGAAGTGAGAAGCCAAGAACCTGCCTCAGTTTACCCTGTGGCTGTGGGCTCTGATGTCTTACTTTGGGCAGCTGCCAGCAGGAAAAGGAGCCTCCACACCCACTCCATGCTGTAGGAGTTTGGGGATCTGTAGTTTTCTGAGACTAATCAGGCACTCCCTTGCTGGGTGAGGGAGATGAGCCTCAGATTTCTACCCTAAATGTTTTTGCATAGAGCACATTTGAATATTACCAGGCCCTAAACAAAACTGAATGCAAATCTAATATACAAGGCTCCAAGACTCCAGGTGGGTAACACCATGTCTTCCAGCATCTGGTGTTTATGATTTCACACTGGCTCTGTTGACCCCCAAGGCTTCTGCTTCTGCTAGGTCTGCACAGGGACATCTCCACCTGTGAATCTCACAGTCTCACTGCTTGATTCCATTCAACATGGCCGCAGTGGCCTTTGCCTTCTGTTCATCACGTCCCCGTCCTATTGAGAGTCAGCAACCTTAACCTTTCCAATGGAGACGGTGTCTGCTCACTGAGACTTCTGCATTTCTCCTTCCCTGACTCACATCACTTCTAAATGTTTGCTGTTCTTGGACTCTGTGGTCCTCTGCACTCCCATGTCAGTGTCTGCCAGTATTGATGAAGCGATTGGAAATAAGGTGCATTTGTATTTAAAACTATGAATTCTGTGCTCTCCTTGTACATATGTCATGTAATAAATATTATAAATTTTAAAGATTGCAAGACATTCCATGGGGGAGGTATGGAGGAAATGATGTATCTATATTAATATAAAAATTAAAAATTATTACAATAAAAATAGTGAACCAGACTCATAACAAAGAAGAGTTTCGATATCTGGTGAGAGGATAGGCAGCTAGACAAATGCACTGACTTTCAAAAAATGTTCTATCATCTATTCTATCTTGGTGAGCCTAAAGACTAACATGCCACTTATCTTTTATTATAACTAATAACCATAACCATAACTATCTGTCTTCAACTCCATCAAAGACCATAGAAAATAGTATATAAACTCTAGAATTGACAAAAACATTCATTACCTGGACAGTCACCTGAATTTCCTCTGTAATGTTGGGACATCCATTTTCTCCTCATAGGCCACAGTGTGTCTGACAGACTTCCCAATGAAACAGGAAATTTTAAACTGTCCTCCTGTACTGGCAGTTTGTCAGGCATTTTTCTCTGTGTCCTTCAGAATGTCTGTCATGCTCTTCCATGAAGCAGGAACTCTGCAGCAAAGTCCCATCTTATTTCAGCAGTCACTTTCCTGTGGGTCCTGGATGCCCACTTTACAGAGCACACAATCAAACAGTCCAGACAAGAGCAGTTTCTTGCCCAAATGGCTAGTCTCACCATATTGAAAGAAATTCCATAACGAGTTTCTTTGATGCCCATCTTCCTTACTGCATCTTTGCTGTTGCCAGGAGCAGTTGTGTCTCCTGTCATGAAACACCCTAAAACATTTTAAATGCCATATTCTGTATGTCTTTGAAAGGTTTGAAAATTGCCTATCCACTTGAAATATATCTCTATATATCTAGAAAACCTAGCTAACCTAAGTATAAGTTTGACTATTATAGTTTACTATAAATAATCTGGACTAAAATATACAATACTCAAACAAGAGGAGAAATATACATATATCAAAATTGATCTTAAATTTGTATTAACAAATGAAAATCCATACCAATACAAAGTGTTCATTTCTATATCATATTTCCCCATTTTAAAGAAAGTGAATGTTTGTGATCCTTAACCATTTGTAACCAACCCCATTTAAATGAAAACAAACGTTTATAAACAATATTTGGGAGTTTGGGCACCATTCTTTACAAACTGTTGTTTGGGAGGCATGAAACACACAATCCAATTTCAGAAAGTAGTTTAATGTGCACCCACCCCAGGGCTGCTGCTGATAGAATTAATCCTCTTACATTCTGAGCTGGGGATCCCACTACCCTTTCCCCAATGCCACCTGAGTAGGAGCCCAGCTTGTTGTCAAAGCACCTGTGACTCCAACAATTGATTGTAAAATATCAGCATATTGTCATCCTTCTTTGGGTGCTTTTAGGCCCAGTTAATGTGATAGTTGGTCACAGAGAATCGAAGGCAGCACATTTGAGGGACAACAGTTGGATTGTGAATGGCGGTTCTGTTGTGTGATTCCTGTGAGGAGAGCATGTTATATGTTGATGATGTGACTCATGGGAGACCCCACAGATTAGTGCAGCACCAAACATGCATTTAGTTGCTGGGTGAAGTCTGCTACCAGAGGCGGATCTAATCTCATGAGGCGCAAACGCCATCCATTCAGAGAAAGAAAGTGGATGTCTCCTGAGAATTCATCAGCAATCTCCCCAGCAAGCTGAAATTCTAAAAGTCTAACAATGGACATCTGTTTCTTAGCCATATAATGAAAGTCTGGAGTAAATCTGAACACAAGGATGGGAGCTGTACACACACCTGGCACCTCACACCAGACTGAAGGACACTAATCCCTTAAACATAAGACTGGAAAGAGAGGAACTCTCCCCGCCTGAGGTTCTACATTCTGTGAAGAGATGAAGGTGGCCTCAAACCCAGGATATTGTAGGGAACATGGTGTAAATGCATGAATTGGGTAGTAATATCTTTAAGTTGGGAAAACACCGCTTTTACTCTTTCAGGAACCCAAGTGTACATATAGATAGTCTGTAATTTACTTTCTTCTCCTTACCCAAGACACTCATACACAGACACATTTAGTGTGTGTGTGTGTGTGTGTGTGTGTGTGTGTGTGTGTGTGTGTGTGTGTTTAGTATTCCAGGTTTGTCTAAAGTCTTTCATTTTAGGGAAAGTATTCACATAAAAATGAATTATTAGCTGGGCGTTGATGGCACACACCTTTAATCACAGCACTCAGGAAGCAGAGGCAGGTGGATCTCTGTGAGTTCGAGGCCAGCCTGGTCTCCAGATCGAGTGCCAGGATAGACTCCAAAGCTACACAGAGAACCGCTGTCTCAAAAACCCAAAATAATGAATTATTAAAACCTATAATGAAGTCATTTTTGCAATCATGACCAACTTTTCCTTCTCTCCTTCCTCTGAGCTGAAGTCTTCACAGGGCAGAGGGCAATGCCTTGGGACCAGGACGCCTACACTTGCCTACCAGAATTGCCTGGGCTCAACACTGTGGGTGGAACATCAAGGCCTGAGATCCCAGGTCACAGTCATATATTTCAGCAGAGAAAACCCCTCATGATAGTATAAGGATATTACAGATAGATTTACAGATGCCGCTGGTGGTGGTGGTGGTTCTGATGAGTATACGTCAATGTTTGAAATTTTACATCAGTCTTTATGTATATGAAATTGTTTTTTCTGCTCAAAAAGGTTCATATGTAATGTGTAAAACTTGTATGTGGTTTACAAAGAATTTTTACTGTACTAAATTTGGAGTCATGTCACAGTAACTACATCATGTGTATTACATGGTCTCTGCAGTTATTTGAGGTCAGGACAGGAAACCTTAGGGTTCCCGAGGACACCCTCACTCTCCAGATGTTTCTCTCACCTACTCCATTTTCTTTTCTGGTGAAAGTTGGGTCTAAAGCGCCCTCTGCTGTTCCTGAGCATCCTCAAATTGAGGTCCTTCCTGAGCACACAGGGAACCTCCTCACACTGTCTCCCCAGTTGGAGGAACATAGGAGGATACTTTACACAGCCATTGCTGTGTCAAGCAGTAAGTTAGATTCAACATAGGTTTGCATAGTCTCTAACATAGAATTGATCAAGAGGACTCTGCCTAACACAATGCATTCCCCAGGGATTGCATACACATTAACCAAGACACATGCATATTTTTGATGGAAGTGTATGTCTGCTACTGGAACTTGCAAAGTTAATGGTCTGAGATAAAGAGACATCACAATTTAACAGAACTTTGAGATTACCAAGATCCACTGATCTCCATACTGGTTGTTATTCACCCATTTGTTGAAAACCTAATACCCTATAGCATGAGGATGATCTGTCAGTATCCAAAGCACTGTAAGAGTTGATGCTGTATCAATGTAGGTCCATGTTCTGTAAAGCCTGCATATTGTAGAGCTGAGAACGTGGACAGGGAAGACAATAAATGTGGGACCAGAGACTAAGGTATTATCTCAGAAACTTCCTCAATTAACAATGGGTTGTGAATGAGATGTGTGAAAAGTAATTTAATAATACATTTGTATACCTTATAGGAATCATACTTACAAGGCAGTGCATTCTGGTGTAAATATGTCTTTCATTCTAAGATACTGGAATTCCTGCTGGACCACATGGCCTGAGTCAAACCTACACACATCAAGAGGTCATGTAATAATTGAGACTATGAAAGGAGTTGTTTTATTAAGCTCTATGTTTTCTCCAGCCCCCTTTCCTCCCCCTCCCACTATCCCCCCTGGCCCTTAATCTCCCAATTTACTGAGGAGATCTTGTCTTTTTCCCCTTCCTAGGCAGATCTATGTGTGTCTCTCTTAGGATACAAAAGTGAATTTGTTTGTATAGATGCTGATGCTTTGGATCTTACTGGTCAAATTTCTATTTTACTTCATCCTCAGTGATTCCAACAAATGTTCCCACCTCAGAATCCAAAGGCATTTTTGTCATGATGCACCCTCACAGTTTTCCATTTTGTTGTTTTATTAATGAAAAGACATGTCAATGGAGGTGGTCTCTGGCAAGGAGATTGACAAAATAGGGTGTACTCTAGGAGCATCCCAAGTCAACAACAATTTATTCATAGACCCTTTTTCCAATCGGCAGAAGCTCTGCAGGTCTGTGATGAAGTAACAGTCAGAGTCACACTCACAGAGTTGTCTTCTAAGCAAGTCTCCAGGATGATCTCTGACATCATAGCTCCAGAGCAGCC